TAATTATTTTCGTATGTCTTTAAGGTTTGGGGCAAACAGCTTTTAAAGTTGGACAAGCGCGAGTTTACGGAAGAAGGTGAAGGCTATGGCTGCAGTCAATCTCGAAGAGCAAGGAGATGCTTACTTGAGAAGGGGGATGAAAAGTTCAAACCTTCGTCTACGAGGCGGCGCCGTTGGTCGCTGAAGTTTGAGGCAACTGGTCGTTGAGTTTTGGGATCTTGGTAGGCACTGCGTCGTAGCAGCGACAGACATTTGCGAAATTCGCCTCCAGTTGCTACAGTCAGATAGACAAATTTGAATAGCACATCTCAAAGTCACTACGAAGAAGATGCTACTTGATCAGATGTGATATGGAAAAACTGGAAAATGAGAACGAAAGCAAATGAGACGTGACTGTATTCCAGTGTAAAAATGAAATTGACCCAACTACATGCTTAATTTCCTAATCTTCCTTGTCTTCTGTCCAAGACGCCAAATGAAGAAGCCAACATTAGTGAAGACCGCGCCCACGCGCCGCTCTCATTGTCCGATAAAATCTGGCACCACCACTGGCAACGTTGATTTCACAAACAATTGCGTCACACCCCCACTAGTAGATGTGACGTGTAACTGCAAATAAAAACGAAATATCCTCCTACTGCTTTTCACGATACCAAATGGTCAAATTTATGCGCCTAGCAGAGTCACGCGAACTCTACAACGATGTGTAGGAGGCAGGTAGAACTCAGACCCGATATACAATTTCTGGGTGAAAACAAATCCTAATTTTCTTCCAACAACAACGTAAAACTACAAGAAGCTGCATAACCAGAGGCCGCCCATAACCAGCTCGTTCCATTCACGCGTTATTCGGCCAATTTTCGAGAGCCTGTCCCAATGACACTCAATGCAGGGCAGGAAAAACAGTGAGTAGAAGCAGGAACATGGAAGTTATCTCAGGTCTTCTGAACAGAAATACCACGAGTAAGTTAAAAGTTCCGATCCTTGAGCAGAAAGGAGAAACACAAACGAATTAAAATGTGGTCTGGGGAAGTTGTGCACCAAAACCATTCAGTGAAGCAGATGACTACTAGGAAATACTGCAGGATGTGTGAGCCAAATACCCCGACTGTAAGACTTGCATCGCACAAGTAGGCGAATCCCACAAAAGACGCGCATATATGTGGGAATTAATGTGGTTGGTCTTTCTGCCTAAATTAGCCTAAACACCACCTAGCAGTGCGAAAAATAGCAGTCGTGAAGAGGAAGGCAATGAATCAGAAATCAAATCAACTAACTCGAGGTCAGCAAGGACTCGTTTCACATACCACGCTAATGAGGCAAATAAGAGCCAATTTCAGCTTTGAAAAATGGGAAAATTGGCATCTCGCTTGTTGTACTTCCGTATGCACGAATGTGCGCCAACTCATCATGACAATATTGAATATGACGTAGACTTTAAGTGCAACAAGTCTGGTGATGTGTAGACCTATTCTATAAAAGTGGTTTGCACACAGGAAACCGAGTGAAAAGTACAACCGAAACTAATTTTTGGGTCTGAAAGATTGACCATTTTATCTCAAAATTCACTCGCCACCAAAAGTTTGCTCCACTAAACAAAGTGCTAATGGAAGAAAACAAGTGAACTGATATTCTGTGTGTCTTCACAATTCACTCATCGACCTCAGTCAACACCAACGGATGACTTGATTCACCGAAGCTGATTCGCATTGGCTACTAAAAAGTGACGCATTAGCGCACGAAAAAAAGGAACTACAGCCCCTTATAGCGTCACATGGTCAACTCAGTGACATACGAGCGGCGAACGGTACACTGCACATGATCTGGTCATGACTCTATGATGACAGATCTCGCTGAAAGTAACGGTAGCTAGGATTTTGAATCAGTATGAAAATTTGAATCCCAGAATTATGGTACGATTTGAGGAAGGAGAAGTTCAGGAGACAACAACGTTTACAAATTACGCTACGTAAATAGGCACGATCGACCTCCATAGTTCAGCGACCAAATGTTGTCTTCTTGGGATTTGGACGACTACTCGAAGAATTTTTTAATAGCACAAAGAAACGCTGGGAAGCATAAACAGAACATTAGTAAGTCAGATTGCGTTGGGAACAAAAAGATACATGCTTAGACTACATTGCCATTCCCCATGAAGCACAGCGGAAAGCAAACTTACCAGAAAGTAGGCGAGCATTCTTGCAAGGCTGGAAAGGTATTATGGTGCCTTGAACGTTGACTAATAAACACGACTAAGCAGTGTTTGGAATCACTATTTATGCTAAAAAACGGCAATGTTAGGTGATCCTTTGGAAAGCAAAACAAACTACACATTGCAATGAAAGCTTTGCCATAAAATGTTCACAATAGGTGAGAGTTTATTAATCGAAAAAAATGGTAATGGATGCAGCCCATTTGCATACATTGTGCCGCACCGAGCCGAGGTATTAGACCCGTGAACGATATTCCAGACAATTCATTCATTACCACATTAACATAAGCGTTGAGCCACATTAAAGACGCAAAGATTCTTTTATATCCATCTATGGGCATAACTTTTGCCGCCTACTTTGTCCACGATTTTCTGTTCACCCCACTTTTCGCTACTGAAGCGCAGAATAATAGTTAATAAACCATAAGTGGTAATTAAAACCGTAATTGAATAAAATGTCCCGAAAGTGCTGAAGTTGTGTGGACGTACTACGATGGTTAATAATGGAGGTGCATCAAGTTTAATTAGGTTAATACACTTTATTACAGGAAGGAAAGAACTTACAGCGACTTTCTGTAAAAGGTCACCTACGAGGTTGAGGGCAGCGATTCGGGTGGAGGGTGTAAGAGGCCGAGGAGTAGTAGGAAGGGAAGGTGTTCTGGCTCCTTCGGTCTGCATACAGGCTTCAGAGGTGTCTGAGAGTGAAAATACGGAAGTAGCTCATCTAATGATCCAAAGCTTCGATTATAGCTTTCTTATGAGTCTACAGTGTGAATGCAGACGTGTCACAGAGGACGCATATACATTGGCAATTTCCAAATGGAATCTCTCATCAAAGCACTAGCAACGCAGCATTACAATTGACGATGAATAACCTAGTGATAATCAGCTGGTAAGGATAACAAGGTGCAGAAGAAGTCTTGTAATTTTGCCTTCCGAAAGAGGCACGAACCCAATGGAACGGATGCTCATGTAAGCAGATGAACAATGGCATATATTCGTGATTCGAAAAGATTACACAACTCAAGTATGAGAGCTCTATAGCAAACTGCAAGCATGAAGGCATGTTTATGTTGGGAATGTGTATCGATGTCTCAAAACACAACAAAAGCAAATACGTGTGCTAACCTATAAGTGAAGAACGTGCCAAGAAAGAGGCTTGTCTTCACGCGCACAGACCGACAGAGATATCATAAAGAAACCATTGCAGAGACGTTGAGACATAAACTCTGATTTTGAGGGTTGAATTAACAAACCTCTTTTGTGCCAGAAACTAGAAGAACCGCGTGCACAACGTTCAAGGCAGGCAACGCAAAGCGAGTAGCATGCTTACCATAAAACATGGTTAAACCCTAGAATCGATGAATGCATTACCTCGAATGGTTTGCTCGACTGCAATTGGCGGTAAAACGGCCTTTTCTGGTGACATTTGAATACGAGACCGATGATTAAGTTCTTGGTTCAAGTCTACGAAAAATTTTAGGCAATAATCATAAAAAATATGATAAAAATGGATAAAATGGATAAATCGTCAAACAAAAAACCGAAAAAGCAGAAAATGGTAAGCGAATGGGACATATTAAAAGAACTTCCACCAAAACTTCGGCAATTTCACGAGAAAAATCAAGATAAACAAAGGGCTGATAGGAAA